TTCTCTCCCCCTCCCCCCCCCGCTGCAGAGATCCTCCTCAGTTAGGACATGACTCCAAAGACGGGGTTGTGGCGACAGATGCTCGGCCCGATCTCCTCGTAGTCCTTCTTGGTGTGGCACACCTGGTAGAACTCGGGCTGTGGGAACCAGACAGGACACGTGTCAGAGTGACAATACAGAACCGACCCGGGGGGGGGGGGGCGGGGGGGGTGCCCTGGACATTCCTCGTGAAAGGAGAACCACGATATAGAGCGGGAACACTGTACACATGTACTAGACGTATCCATGTGTATTACTGCGTCTTCCACCACAGTAGAATACTCACAGTAGTAGTAGTAGTAGTAGTAGTAGTAGTACTCACAGTAGATGCTAACATGGATCCTCCAAACCAAACTGCGTATCTCTGCATATGATGAGTGATGACCTGGACATCGATGGGTTTAGGCTGAGGAGAGAAGAGAGGAGCGTGACTAGTTTGAACTTTGACCTCCCCATCCCATCATCATCATGGCTCCGCCTCCTCACCTTCAGTTTCCCTCCACTCAGCTCCTCACTCATCTTTAGCCGAGCGTCGACTGTTCTCTTCAAGTCTCTCTGCAGACGACGGCCGAAGTCCCTGAACATGGTGGAACCTCCGGACAGAACGATGTTCTACAAGGAGAACACACAACACCTGGTAGAATCACAGGGGGTGGGGCTGGTAGTGCAACAAAACAGTGACCTTTGACCTTAACAGAACCCACAGACGGAGAACTGAACGTGAGGTCATTACCTTATAGAGAGGACGTCTGACGTCGATGGGACAGTTCTGAATGACCTCGTCCACGACCTCTGAGATTGGCTGAGTGAAGTCAGGGTTGGCAAACTGGAACAGAGGGGAACGGAGCCCAGGTTTGAACCACATGTTCTCAGACAGTTCTCATCAGACACTGAACTCTCTGACGTGTGATGGTCTGTTCACTCGAACAGCATTGACCGGTAGAGGTTAAGAGGCTGAGGACTGAGATTTGAGATTTGTGACTCTCTGTGGCCCCGGTGGTGCTTTGGCGCCCCAGTAAAGAGTACGGCTGAGGACTGAGATTTGTGACTCTCTCACTGTGGCCCCGGTGGTGCTTTGGCGCCCTCTATTGGTACACGGGGATAGGACAGCAGTGGGTGAGTCACTTAATATACAGATTTTATATAGTACCAGTTCTACGACGTGTATTGTTGGTCAAACTGATGGTCCTCAGACTAAAAGGTGGTAAAACAAATACTGCTAACGGACCACAAATATTTGTCCTCAGTGTTGCAGTGATTTTAGAACAGTTCTCTGAGATCACGAGTGGAGGGACACACACACACACACACAAACACTCCACTATCTTCATCTGTGATGCTCAGACCGACCTCAGGGTGGAAGAAGATTTCTGGCCCCAGGAAGCGCTCGTAGCCCACGTCGATGGTGAACTCCTTCTTACTGATGGCGTTGATGCCCGTGTACTGTTTGATCCACTTGGAGCCGTCCGTGTCGTATTTATTAAACTCTTTGACCAGATCAGGACACACGTAGCTGAAACGCTCCTGACAAAGAAGAGAAAGAAAAAAAAACATTTGATGAGGAAAAGCCTGCAGAGCAAACAGGAGACAGTAGGGGGAGTAGAGATGTGTCAACAAACACAGTGCATGATGGGAAGTAGACTTGACGACTCACCTTCACTGCCTTGGCCGTCTCCAGTGACTGTTCCGGTGGGATGCCCACCTCCCTCTCCCTCAGAAGCTGCTGGGTGAAGTAGGTGATGTCACGTCCTGCGATGGGAATGTGCTTTATACAGCTGCCGATTACGTAACCTTCAGCCTGAGAGACGGAGCAGAGGGGGAAGAGGAAATCCATCCATTATACACAGAACACACACACACACACCTGGAGGAACAGTTCCTGACACTGAGGAGTTCCTTCTAACCTCAGACAGACTGCTGGACATTAAAGGAACTACAGTCAACTCCAGAACAGAAGTGGAGACGTGTGATGTCATCACTTTAGACTTAAAGAATACACACATCTAAAACCTCCGTTGACCGACTACACACACCGCATTAGTCCAAATACATAGAGTAGTACTACAAAAATACTGTTGCTATAAAACCACCATGAAGTGGCAGTGTTGAATGACTGTTGACTGACCACAGGGATGACGTGAGTGACTCCGTCCCCACTGTCGATGACCGTCCCTGTCAGAGTCCTCTCTCCCACCTGTCTGGACGTCCAGGAGGCGGCGAGAGCCAGCACCGCCTGAACACACACACACACACACACACACACACACACAAAAGAAAGGTAACATGTCAGTCAGACTGTGTATGTAAACATGAAGCAGTACTACTGTACTATTTCATCTGGGTGATCAGCTGCTGATGGCCGGTTTCCAAACCACTGGGTGGCAGCTCCACCCGTGACAGTGTTGGGTGTAAAAACTCAATCTTGTTGATATTTTTTTCTGTTTTTCTACATGTCGACCCATGACAGTGTTGGGTGTAAAAATCTCAAACTCAATCTTGTTGATATTTTTTTCTGTTTTTCTACGTTTGCTTAGAATATTTAAAAAAGAAAGGGTTTGAAAACGAAGAGCCGACAGTTCCTGTGGACTAGAACTGTTCAACAGTACCGTATCTCACCTGCACAGCGATGTACAGTCCTGGTACATTGAAGGACTCGAACATGATCTCTGCTGTGTACTCTCTGTTCTCTGGGGTATTGAGAGGCGGCTCTGTCTGAAAACACACATCAGTACACACCAGTACACATCAGTACACGCAGACATAGTTTTACCTGGAGATACTTTTCTGTGTAACATCCTCATTAGCCTCATTTTTGTCTAAAGCTCCTTCTTACCAGCAGGAAGTAGTGATCCTCAGGCTCCGCCCTCAGGTACTTGAAGATGATCTGCTCCATGAAGCGCTCCATGAGGTCCCAGTCCTCCACGATCCCGTGACGAATCGGCCACTGTGGACACCAACTCATGGTCATTAGAGCAGAGACAGTGTCCTCCACAAACATTCTTCTTCATCATCGTCATCGCCGTCATTGTGGTGGTTTGCCCAGGACAACGTACCTTAGTGGAATACGAGGGTTTGTCTACAGCTTCATCTCCGATGTAGAAGTCCAGGTCATCCACGCCCTTCATCATTCTCCTCTGGGCCTGGTCTCCAACCTTGGCCGACTCTTTGATGGCAATACCTGAAGACAGACGTCAACCAAAGATGACCAACACAGATTCATACTGTAGCCTAAAAACTGACTCACAGAACCATGTGAACACCAGCCAGGGTTCTACCCTCTCTCTGTATTTGTTTTTCTTTTTGACTGTGATCAGGACTAAATGTGGCCAGTAGGTGGCAGTAAGGACAATCATGATTTTAGGCTTGAGTTGTTGAACAACAACTTTTATAAAACAAAAAAAAAACAGCAACGCGCTAACACAATGCTAACATGCTAGTGCACCTTTGAGAAAACTATGAGAATAGAGTACAGGCTAGGTCAATGCAGTATAAATGTCCCAACTAGTGTATGTGTACATAGTGTGTACCTGAGCCAGTACGATGCTGATGGAGACTAAAGTACTCACATGATGGAATGATGAACTGAGGTTCCGTGTTCCCGGCGTAGCCCAGTTTGGTGTATCTGGAAGACAAAACCAAAAGTCTGTGATACACTACAAGTAGAGTTGTAGTAATTGGTCAGCGTCTGTACTTCTGCTAGTACTACATCCACATATGTCAGTGTGTTTACTTTGGTAAAGATTATTTTTGGCCGCTCTCTGCTGCTGCTGTCATCAATGGCATCACTGTTCCAGGTTTCTGGTTTGACGCCAGCGTCTGCAGCAGTTTGTTAATGGAACCATTCATCTCACAGTGGAACGGAGAACTGTTCATTTTTCACTGGTCAGAATGAAGTCCACGTCTGTGTACACTGCCCACGGACTCTTAATATAAACTGACTCTGACCTCAACAGTGTCTGATGAATACCTCCCCCTCCCGCACGCCCCCTCATGTTGAAGTTCCACCAACCGCCACCTCACAGTATCTCCTCGTGCAGCAGCTGTGTCTGACAGTGACCGAGGCAGATGTGGACCAGATGTGGACCAGATGTATTCATGACCGAATTTGGACCAGACCCCCATTTCCTGAACCGGGGCCCTCAGTCCTGAAGGAGGACAGGGTCCACAACGGTCAAAAGACTGTTGGCAGATCCGGTCCAAGTTCATCAACACGGATCATGTTTTTTTTTGGTGGTGGTTCCAGCCTCGAACCACAGCTGTTTAATCACAGTAACATCCACGTCCCAGTCAGTCTTCATGTCTCTAAACACCTTCATACCACAGAGCAGTCCCAGCTTGTCTCCCTGAACCTGCTGCTACAGGTACAGACCAGTACCAACACAACAGAGCTGCCGTCAATGTAGCAGCTGTACAAGCTATGGATTGGACTGTTAACATATCGTCAGGGCTTTGTGTTGGCAAGAATCTGGTGATACGATCCATATCGTCAGAGCTTTGTGTTGCCAAGAATCTGGTGATACGATACGATTTAGGAAACTAAATGTCACAATATATTCTTACACCCCTACATAGAACTAGATATGGTTTGTAACACAGTAGATCAGTGGTATCTGTACTAGGAGAGATAGTGTATTACTACATACAGCTGTGTATTGTGATGTGTAGAAATCTAAGCAGCACAGCTTTGATTCTCTGTGATCTAGGCCACAGCTCCTGAGGTATGAAAACCTACAGGTCCAATTCTACCAAAAACCCAGCGACTCAGCAGCCAGATGATGATGTCATCCACAGGCACAAACCTTCAGCACATATTTACACAACTAATGACTTTTCTTTTGCTAAATCACCATCTAAAAATGTGCCCCACGGTAACACAGGCAAATACTGTCATGGCCCAAAACTTCCAACAGTACACACTAAAAAAGTACTGACACCGAGTTACTAACCAGGTTGTCAATAAATGTGACTCCTCTTCTTCTAAATATAGTGATATTAATATTTCAACTAACCCATCACACACAACATAAAACATAATAAAAAAGTGTTAAAGCCTGGAACCTGAGTATTTCATCTGCTAATATTTCCAGACATTGACTAACACACAAATTTCAAATATTCCAGCTCAATCAGGATTTTGTTTTTAGCCACTTGGACTGGAACTTAATTCCAGTGGAATCTCCACCACCTTTTTCCAAATTCCACATCTTTGGAGACTAAATGCTCTGGAAACTTGGCATCACCGTGGCAGTGGTTATTTGTATTAAATCTAAAATCAACAGTACCAAACTGACAGCCAATCAGTTTGTGTCAGTTACATCTAATTTTCTTTTTTTTTTAATCCATAATTGCCTAAAACTGTTGTTTATTTCTCCAGACTGCAGACACAGGTCAGGTGACCTGGAAGCTGTGGAAACTAACAGCCTTTAGCTTGAGATGGAAACTAGCATCAGGCTAACCTGTTTCTCAGCTGCACTTTCTTCCTTGACCTCATTGAAGATCTAAAGCAGGAGGCTTTTTAACTGCCCTGGGGCAGGAGGCGATGATTGGGGGGGGGAGTATGCAGGCTATGTGAGGAGTGACTACTACAAGTCTTGACATGGAAGCAATGCAAGCCACTATTGCACCCCACCTCTGCCACCCCACCCCCCATGTCAGAGGGTGCAGCTATCATCAAACAGGATGTATTTCAATGTCTGCAACATTCTAATGTAAACTTCTCCAGAGTTGATCACAAACAAACAGCCCCAAAGACCAGGGTAGTTCAGTCCTGTTGATCCTGGTGTTACAGCATTACTGTTACTACTTTAACAAAGCCCGGTGAATGTAAACAAAAAAGCTGTGCAGATAATTCCGTTTTTCACAGTCATTTCAATCAGTTTTCATGTACACCGTGTACTACTGCTTCACTTCTGGTCCGGTACTTCTGTACCTGTGAAGTGACTATAAAGATGAAGGTAACGTCACCTCACACTAACAAAGGCGTGAGGCAGACGGTTACAGAAGCAGTAGTCCAGCGTACAGAAGAAATTAGAGAAGTTAATCAAAAAAACATGCTCGGATGCCGAGAAACCACCATATATGGACTAAAAAGCGTGAATGAGGAAGTGGATGCTGTGTAGGAAGTAGCAGTGCGCATGTGCAGACCTGGACGGAGAGGTTTTTGAATTATAGTACTAAAAACGATAATATATTTTTAATCCATATATGTGGCTTTTAACCCCGTACTGGCCCACATTGTAGTCATATATAAACCAGTGGAGGCAGGTGTGGAGCAATTCCCCTGCAGACAGTGTTGACTTAGCAGCAAAAAGGTTGGCTGTGAAGTTAAATACCACCGATGAGAGGAAAACTCGACCATTTAATATTTTTACTATTAAAACGTTGAGGGCGACGGAATTTTAATGTAAAAATTAGAGTCAACTTAGCAAATAAAAATGCACAAATGATGAGCCGGGGTCTAGTGAAAACAAATGAAAAATGACAACAATTCTGTCACACTTAGCATTTTGTTGGAAAAATGACAATTCTGTCACACTTAGCATTTTGTTAGCACATTAGCATACAGGCTAGCTGACACACACACACCCAGGTACCGCTGTGGCTGCTGACATTCACACTGACAGTCCCTACTACACGGTACCCTGCCTCTCCATGACACCCAGTCCTGCAAGGCTGCACTGCGCTCCAGCTGAAGCAAACCTACCCAGTGCCGCAGTCCACAACACATGCCGGTAGCCGTCCAGCCATCTCTCCGCGGGTCTCTGTCGATGCGAAGTGGTTCAGTTAGATAAAAAGCAGGCTGCGTCCGCGGGGAGATCTGACAAGCCGTCCACAGGCGGAACCATGAGCCCGCACAGTGCGTTTCCACTTCCGCACTCGGCTCCTCGTAGGCAGGGAGAGGCAAGATGGCGCAGGCCAGGCAAAGCGAGTTCACCAAGAGGGGGCGCAATTGACTTACTTACCGCTGGACTCATTAGCATTAGATACTACTTTAGAGTATTCATTATTATTTCACAAGCAACATACGTTTATTAAATATGCATATTTTTGTTTATCATTTATATGACCTTATCATTCCATTATAACATCATAAAACCAAAACAATAAACAACATTAAGTAACACAAAATGTATTACCTGACGCTCCATGCTTTTTATATTTCTCGATATCCTCGATTTTGTTGTCTTATGTGTGCCACGATTGCTGTGCTTCTTATCTTGTCAAAAACAGCACAGACGTTTTACGTTACTACTCAATTAAGACGAATATGCGTCGGTTAGTCCATGGACACACAAACAAAATTCATTTTGCTCCTAAAAATAATATATCCATGTTTGCAATTCTACCATTTAGTTGACTTATGAACTCAGAACGATATCTACTTTTAAAAATATATACATTAAAAATAGTTACGGCAGTTTTAATCGAGTGTAATTATTGCTGATAGAGATTGACGCCTTTAATTAATCTGCGTTTTGGCATCATTAGCCGTTTGGTGGAGATTAGAAATATATCGTTTTTAGATTTTAGATTTCGCGGTCAGACGGTTATTTAGGAAACATCCCATGAATAATGAGAGGTCCTCTGCATTTCTATTCAGGCAACACAACGCAGAGCCCTTAAGGGGTCCTGACAATTACGTAGACGCACACACGTGTGTCGTGCTCTGTAAACATGGCGGACTTACAGATGAAGCTCCTCCGTAAGAAGATTCAGAAAAGGAATCAAAAGAACAAGGAGCGGAAGTTACAACAAAAACAAGATGACGATGAGCCCGGTAAGTTATGTTACTAATTAAAAACACGCTTTTGCTCGTTTGTTTAAGTTTGAAAAAGTGACGTCGTTCCGTTCACGAAGCTATTGCCGTTGTACAGCAGATACCGTATTTATGTATTGTATGTATATGTGTAGAAAGCGATCGAAAATGTTAAATACGGTAGATGTGTGTATAATTGAATATATACATTTATACTGTAAGCGCTGGTGTCGTCTTATATTCTACCGTCCCACGCTGGACATGTCGGCAACCCCGTCCTTTACTGAGGACTAACAATGTGCTTCTGGTTTCGAAAATAATAAATTGTTTGTTTTTTTTTGGTTTGTGGTATTCATGACATTTTGACTCTGAAACGGAAAATTGTTGTTTGTTTGTTTTTTGGTTTGTAGTATTCATGACATTTTGACTCTGAAACGATGTTGGGCTGTACTTCACAGTAAAATCGAACGGCCTGGAAGAAGAGTGTCCTGGGGCAGCAGCGACTAAGTTCTCCAAGAAGGAAGAGAAGCAGCCTCTGACGTCACAGGCTGAAGATGCCACCACAGCCATCAGCCCTGTGCAGAAGAAGAAGAAAAAGAAGAAAAGAAAGCTCACAGACACGTCTGGATCACCTGGTATGTTTCTGTAAAGCTTTACAAACAACAGGTCAGTTAGTAGAAAAGTTCAGTTACTGTAATGATTGTTTTCTAAATGCAGTGGAGAAGAAAACCAAAACAGTAGAAGATGATGATGATGATGATGAAATGGAAGGTGAAGAAGAAGCAAAAGCAACGAGTCACAGTGAAGAGCAGATCACTAATGGAGATGAAGATGAAGTTGGTGAGGAGGAGGAGGAGGGAGAAACTATTAATGGAGATGAAGGTGGTGAGGAGGAGGAGGAGGGAGAAACTGAAAATGAAGATCAGCCTGAACTACCATCTGGACTGACTGGTATGATTCTGCTCTCTCTTCAGTCAGTGGCTGTTATACCATGTGACTGTTTTTTTTTTTTTGCCTCTATGTGTTGCCCCTTCACTGCATCCTTGGTGAAGTGGGTGTCAGCTGAGGCAGACAGAAACTCTTGTACAGCATCTGTCTTTAGGAGGCGCTACGTTAGCTCCTCTAACAGCAGTACAAGGACATGATACTGACTGATACTGCAGTTTTACTGCCTTACATTCATGTGAACTATCTGACTCTGTGGTGTTTTACTTCAGGTCAATTACTGTTGTTTTTTTTAAATTGTGCTTCCAGGTGCATTTGAGGACACAGCATTCTCCTCTCTGGCTGATTTAGTCAGTGAAAACACTCTGAAAGGCGTGAAAGAGATGGGCTTCGAGCACATGACTGAAATCCAACACAAGAGTATACGCCCCCTGTTGGAAGGAAGGTAAACGTTTTTTTAATTGTAACCTGTTTAGTTGTTGAAGTAAAATGTCAGCAATGTTGAAGAAGTATGAGTCACTGACTGTTCCTCTTTTTCAGGGACGTTCTGGCTGCAGCAAAGACGGGCAGCGGGAAAACCTTGGCCTTTCTCATTCCATCAATAGAACTCATCTACAAACTGAAGTTCATGCCCCGGAATGGTAATTCATTTTGTGAAGAGAGACTGTCCTACAGCGACACCTTGTGGAGGTTCATCCATTCACCCTGACTGTTTGTCCACCTGTGGTCTCCCTCAGGCACTGGTGTGGTGGTCCTCTCTCCCACCCGTGAGTTGGCCATGCAGACCTACGGTGTACTGAAGGAGCTCATCACGCACCACGTGCACACGTTCGGGCTCATCATGGGGGGCAGCAATCGCTCCGCTGAGGCCCAAAGACTGGCCAATGGTGTGAACATCCTGGTGGCCACACCTGGTCGACTCCTGGACCATCTGCAGGTGAGCGGAGTTGTTTGGCTGATATTATCAGACGTCCCTATTTAAAATGTTAACGTGTTTTGTTTGTTTTGTTTGCTTGTGTCAGAACACCCCCGGTTTCTTGTACAAGAACCTCCAGTGTCTGATCATCGACGAGGCCGACCGTATCTTAGAGGTTGGCTTTGAGGAGGAGCTGAAACAGATCATCAAACTTCTGCCCAGTACGACTCTGATTTGTCTTTTTCTGGATTGTGGCAGTGTGTTTCTACAAGATGCTGACGAATGTTTACTTTCATCCAGAAAAGAGACAAACCATGCTGTTCTCAGCCACCCAGACCCGGAAGGTGGAGGACCTGGCTCGTATTTCCCTGAAGAAGGAGCCGCTGTACGTGGGCGTGGATGACAACAAAGAGATGGCCACGGTTGACGGACTGGAGCAGGTTCTGGACAGTTGTCACATTCGTGTTAGCTCCAGCCTCTGTGTTTGCTGTGTTCCTGACTGTGACCTTTGACCTGTGATTCAGGGTTACGTGGTGTGTCCGTCAGAGAAGCGCTTCCTGCTGCTCTTTACCTTCCTCAAGAAGAACCGCAAGAAGAAGATGATGGTGTTCTTCTCCTCCTGCATGTCTGTGAAGTTCCACTACGAACTGCTCAACTACATCGACCTGCCCGTCTTGGCCATCCACGTACGTCTCTTCTCCCAGCGTCCTTCACAGAGTTCCATCACATTCCGGTGAATGTTCCAGAACTAGCTGCTTTCTCCCTCTAACGTTCGTGTGTTTGTGGTTGCAGGGGAAGCAGAAGCAGACCAAACGAACCACCACCTTCTTCCAGTTCTGCAATGCTGACTCTGGGATTCTGCTGTGTACCGACGTGGCAGCTCGTGGACTGGACATCCCTGAGGTGGACTGGATCGTCCAGTACGACCCTCCCGATGACCCAAAGGTAACTGCAGTCCAGTCCAACAGATTGGTGGTTGATTAGTGTTGATTTTGATCCACATTAACGTGCCCGGTGACTGTCAACAGGAGTACATCCACAGGGTGGGCCGAACAGCCCGGGGCATTAATGGGCGGGGCCACGCTCTCCTCATCCTGCGACCAGAGGAGCTTGGCTTCCTGCGCTTCCTGAAACAGGCCAAGGTGAGAACTCCCTTTAGGGAGACAGCGCTGTGCAAAAGTTTTAGGCAGGTGTAGGTATTTCCCGTCTCCAAACTTTTGTACTTTTTTCAGTAGTTAAAGGAATGTATAGAAGTTTTGTTTGAAATTTTGTTTGAAAAGTTTTGTATGAAATTAGGACGGCCTCCTTTCAGCCTGATCCTCCCCTCCATCCTGGTTATTTACCCCTGTCTTCTTCATTTCAGGTGCCCCTCAGTGAGTTTGAATTTTCCTGGACAAAGATCTCTGACATCCAGTCTCAGGTGAGGTGACGCTGTCACGCTAATGTCTCAGTTGTAGGTGATAGTTATAAACGGTACTTTTTAAACGTAGAACTGTTCTGTTCCTCAGCTGGAGAAACTGATTGAGAAGAACTACTACCTGCACAAGTCTGCTCAGGAGGCCTACAAGTCCTACGTCAGGGCGTATGACTCCCACTCGCTCAAACAGATCTATAGCGTCAATACCCTCAACCTCCTCATGGTGGCGCTGTCCTTTGGCTTCAAAGTGCCCCCCTTTGTTGACCTGAGTATCCTTTGCAGTCATTTTTTTGGTGTTATTTTAACAGCGTGTGTTCAGACGTTCATGTCGGTCACTGGTCTTCACTGCGCTCCGTGTTTTCCTTAACCCACTCTTCCTCTTCTGCGCTCCTTGTTTTCCTTAACCCACTCTTCCTCTTCAGACGTCCACAGCAGTAAAGGTGTAAAGATGCAGAAGCGCGGGGGCGGCGGAGGGTTTGGATACCAGTCCAAGAACGTGCAGAAGTCCAAGATCTTCAGACACGTCAACAAAGGACGGAACGACAACAGGAAGTTCTCCCGCTGAGGCCTGGACGTTCCACAGTGATCTTCTGTCTCTGAGTCTCTGTAGACCCTGAACTGCAGAACCATCAAAGACTGTTTTATAGTTTCTTCAGTGGTTGGGACCAACAGTCTGTATCTGATTTTTATCTCTGATCTGTTCAGAATTCCAGTAAATTCCACTGAGTTTCAGTGGAGGACAGAAACGTCTCGTGCTGATCTTTCTTCTGTGGCGTTCCTCACAGATTCTTACAGTACAAACCGCGTCAACACACAGGTTATTTACATGCTGTTCATCCTGGAACATTCTGGAATAACTTTCTGGTTAGTACTCTTTTCTCACAGCACTGGTTGAGTTCCCTGACCACAGGCTAGTGTGAGGCCATCGCTTCTTTGGTACCTGACTGTAAAAAAAAAAAAAAAGTAAATCAAATCATGTAAAATTTTACTGGGAACGTTTGAATTTTTTTTTTTTTTATTTGTTGAAATTCCAAACACAGTGTGGACTGTGAGGTCAAATGTCATTGGTACGATGTTGGTCTGGTCCCATCTTTACCCACTGACAGCTGCCCCCAAACCTTGACCCTGCAGAGGTCACACTGTAGATGAAGGTCAGTTATAATAAGTAAAAATCTATCTTTGTTAAGTTAAACCTTACATTTTAATTCCTTTTTTTATTATTATTAGTCACATGATCGTGGCTGATTAAATATTTCATCTTAAAATCTCATGTTTCTACATGATCTCTAATTGGTCAAAAGATTAACATTTAGCAGAAATAAAATCAAGAAAAGAAGTCCAAATATTTCCTTTGTTACATTAAAGGTTCCACGAGTCGTTCCCCAGAACAACATGTTCCACTTTTCATTCAAGATCTTCAGGTAGGTGTTCTAGGTACGGGGGCAGCGGTGGCTATGGAAGGTTGCAGGTTGAATAGTAGCCCCTAAGGTTCCACTGAGGTGCTGTGAGGTCCCAGCACACTGCTGCCCCCTGCTGACTAAGGTAAACGGTTAAATGCAGAGGTCACATTTGGTGGTGTGCTGTGTCACACTGACAATTAAATCACTTTCCATTATGGTCACAGGATTGAGTTAGTCTGTCAGAGCTGTCACGGGTCGTCATGACAACCACTCTCTTCCAAGTCACTGCTGCTGCTCCCCTGGTGGTGGAGACAGAGAAACTTGTTAAAAGAGAGAAACAAACAGAGAACCTGGTACAAAGAGTGTAACAGAAACTATTAGCATTAGCATGGTAGCCTGAACCGTAACACCAACCAAAACATGAACTCTAAAGACTTTTACTTTGATAAGACTAAAAGCAACGAGAGAATTTTCAGAATAAAACATTGATTTTAAAATGCTAAAATTTCAACGCTTTCCTCGAATCTTTCTCCACTAGTAGGTGCTAGTCCGGACTTTCACTTTGATAAGACTCAAAGCAACAAGAGAATTTTCAGAATAAAACACATTGATTTTAAAATGCAAAAATTTCAACTCTTTCCTCGTATCTTTCTCCACTAGTAGGTGCTAGTCCCAACCTGACGACAATGTCACTGACAATTTTTTTTGTCATAAAACAATTTTAAGATGCTGTTTCCCCACCCAATGTGACAAAGTTATTTCTACAACTGTAATGACTGTACGTCAGTAGCAGTGTTGTCTTTCTGCCCCCTCCCCTCTTGGCTCAGACAGACACATGGACTTCATTTGTTTGTTTGATTGAACCGTTCAGTTCAATGTATTTGGTGGGTTTTTTTTCATGGAACTAGAAATGAAAAGAAGTTGAACTGAAGTGAACTCTGATGAGAAACAGTTCCATACCATTAGTACCGCAGCAGGGCTCTGTTGTTTCCCAGTTCATGGACCTCTGGACGGCTTTCTTCCATCGGGAAAATCTTAACTCGCTCTCTGTTTGTGGAAAACACAGAGACTGAAGTTAAAGTCATCGTACTGCAGTATTATCATCAAGTAAAACAAAAATATTCGCTGGTGTCTGTGATGTTTTTAGTTTAATGAAGTATCTTTAAATCATAAGATCAGGCTCCAGAGACATTGAAAAAAAAGGAGCATTTCGTCATTTCACTCTGAAGGTGAAGCAGAACCTCAGCAGAGAAACAGGCAGAAAACCAGGACAGTGTTCAGGTCTGGTTATGTTGGGTTTTTGGAAATTCAAGATCTTCTAGAAACCAGCAGTGTTTTGTCTCATTCCTGTTCTGCACCAGAGGCCGAACGATGAGAAAAACAACAACATCTGTTGTTTCTCTCATCGTTCTATCTGTTCTACATACTTGGAGGAAGTACTTCTCCGTTCTCTCACCGTCCAAGTTGATCTGAGGTTCATATTTCTCAGATGCGACGTGTGGTAAATGATCCGAGCTCAGGCTCCACACATCCACGCCCTTCGCTGCCCCAGCTGCCATGGCCACACCCAGGGCCGTGTTTTCTGACATGGTGGGACACACTGGAGGGACAAGAGACAGATTCAAAACAAGAATTGACTTCATTAAGGCTGTGTACTGTCGAGGATCTGTCGATAACGATACGTATCACGATAGAGGGGCAACAATACGATATATTATGATATACTGCGATACTATAGGCATTACGATACATTAAAAAAAAAGAAAATGAACCAACGCCAGGAATATTTGACTGGGAATTGGTGATAAAAAAATCAATAATTGATGGAGGATATTGATACGGTATCAGGAAACCAAATATCACATTATTTTGGTGTATTGATATTTACTTGCAGCCCTATTAAAAGTGTTCTATTTTTTATATTTTGTTTTGTTTGAGCCACTGTCATCATGATCCTCCATGACGATGGTTGTCATGACAACAGTCCAGTTGTCAGCACTCACCCACAGGGATGCAGAGGATGTCAGCCTGCAGCTGCATCAGTAACCTGTTGGACGTCATGCCTCCGTCCACCCGCAGCTGCGTCAGTGGGACACCACTGTCCTGATTCATGGCGTCCAGGATCTGATCCACACAATTCACACGAGCACCAGATTAACAGCTGAGCGGAACTTGAAGGGTCAAATCCAGGTCAACTAAATGATTTCATAAACATGGCTGTAGCCCCGCCCCCCACCTGAGACGACTCACCTCTCTGGTCTGAAAACAGACGGCCTCCAGCGCAGCGAAGGCCAGGTGGTTCCTGTTGGTGAACTGAGTGAGTCCACAGATGATGCTGCAAACACAGAGGGGAAAAAAAGACTGAAGTCAAACTATATTTACTTTTAAAAAACCACTTGACAAGTTGGATCATGACGGGCTCACCCTCTGGCACTGGGCTCCCAGTAGGGGGCGTAGAGTCCAGAGAAAGCAGGTACAAAGTAACAGCCATAGGAGGTTCCCACTGCTGCTGCCAGTTTCTCTGAGAGGAAACCAAACATTTGTCTGTGAGAAATTTGTGACATGTCAGAGTACTGAGTACTCTCCCTGTACTACTGTGTACACAGTCTCTACAGAATCACTGAAGACCTGAGTACTCTTCATTTCCTATTGTCTTTTGACTCTACTTCCTGTGGTCTTCTGACTCTACTTCCTGTTGTCTTTTGACTCTACTTCCTGTTGTCTTCTGACTCTACTTCCTGTTGTCGCCCTCTTCTACTTTCTGTTGTCTTCTGACTCTACTTCCTGTTGTCTTCTGACTCTACTTTCTGTTGTCTTCTGACTCTACTTCCTGTTGTCTTCTGACTCTACTTCCTGTTGTCGTTTGACTCTACTTCCTGTTGTCGCCCTCTCTTTCTCATTAGCTGTTGTTAGCTAGCAGCTAATGAGACCAATCAGTAAGTACCGATCTCTGAGGAGGACTGGAGTATGCCCATGTTGTCTTTCAGCCACCGTACCACTGCACCAGCGATGGCCACTGAACCCTGGGACAAACAACAGACGACCATGAGTTCCAGGAGTGTGGAAATACTTGTAGTACCGATGAAGACGGTCTCACACCCACCTCCAGGGCGTAGCAGGCAGGCTGGTCCTTTCCCAACTTGTAGGCCACTGTGGTCAGCAGCCCATGTTCTGACAGGACGGGCTACGGAGTCCAGGAGACAAACGTCACCGTTACTGTGACGATACGTGACAACAGTACAACAACAGTACTACAGATACAAATACCTCACCTTGGTGCCTGTGTTTCTGAGCAGGAAGCATCCTGTTCCATATCTGTGACAGTAGATGGCGTTAGAGAGTAGATGAAGAAGAAGAAGACAGACATTAGACAACAGGCGGTCAGACTACAGGCGGACAGATACTACAGGCGGACAACTTACGTGTTTTTGGCCTGGCCTTCTTTGAAGCACATTTGACCAACCAGAGCTGCTGACTGGTCACCGAGACACTGAAGGATAAAGATTGACCAGAGAAGTATATTTCAAACGTGTCCCTGTTTTTTTAATTTTTTGATTTTGATTTTCTGGTGTTGTGTATTACTGCAGTTTTACCTTGAATCTGTGTAAAGATGGAAATATGACAGACCTGTCATTACTGGATGTCTTTTTGTTTTTGTTTTTTTATGTGAAACAGACTGTATGTGTGTGTGTGTGTGTGTGTGTGTGTTTGTGCTGCTGTGTCAGTGTACAAACAGAATAAGAGTTCCCCAGATATTGGAACTCCTGCCAGAGATCCAGAACTCTGGAAAATATTAAAGAAAATGTTTGAGAGAAAATAAAAAAAATAATTCAACATGAAATCCAGGGATGAAATGATAAGATAAGAGTTGAACCAAATAATTTAGTTTGTTTAGTTTCTATTGTACAGAGTCAGTTTTTACTCAAACCTCATCATCAGAGACCAAAAAAAAAACAAACAAAAAAAACTGGAGCTGTTTCATCACCATCTTGTGTTTCTTCAGCTCACCATGCAGCCGTATATTTCAGAGGAGCTTCTGACTGAGGGCAGGATTTCCATTGGGACGTCAAAGTAACTGTAGAGGAAACAGGAAACACTCAGTGTCCTCCTCCCTGAAGGTGTAGGTGTGTGTGTGTGTGTGTGTTTTCACCTGCAGAGGTCAGGGTCCCAGTCCAAGGTGTGGATGTTGAACAGCATGGTGCGACTGGCGTTGGACACATCTGTACAGTGGACTCCTCCACTCCTGCCCCCTGTCAGACGCTGAATATAACAACAACAACACTTAGTTACAGCTTCACACCCCACATAGAAACCACGGTAATGGTTGAACGACAAACACACCCAGATGATCCAAGAGTCCACTGTACCAAACATGGCCCGTCCACTCACTACGGCCCGCTGCACCTCGTCCACGTGGTCCAGAATCCAACGCAGCTTCAGTGCACTGAAGTAGGTGCTGATGGGAAGACCGGTCTTGTCCTGGATGAAGGTGGGAGGGGGTGGGGGGAGAACGACAAAATCAGTTTGTGAACGTGTACACCTGCCTAAAACTTTTGCACAGTACTGAGAGTACTTTACATCTACTCTACTGTTAAAACTAAGGGATGTCTGATATTACGGCAGACAGTAATTGTGAAACACTGCTTTAACCTGTCAGCTCAGTGAGCAGGCGGCACTTCACCTCCTTCACCACCAGGGCACCACTGCCCCGCTATATCGGTATGGTTGATATCGGAATCAGAAATTGTCTTTGGACAATATCAGCAAAAAGATAATATCAGACATCCCTGGTAAAAACATTTGCTGACATGTACGTCATGATTCCAACGTCCCCCTCCACCCCCGCCCCCCCCCACGTCTCACCCTCAGGTGATTCTTGTCTCCCCCTGGAGCTTTGTCGATCAGCCGCTCCACTGTGGACTGGGTGCGCAGGTCCAACCAAACTGTCAGAGGACAACAACAGGTTCAGAGGTGTGGGTCTGTGCCAGTGAGGTCACAAAGGTCACAGAGGTCACCGGACAACATTTACAGATGTGTGGACACTGGGGTGACACCCAGTTCACTGACCAATAGCATTGTAGAGGGGCCGTCCTGTCGTCTTGTCCCAGACTAGCGTGGTCTCTCTCTGATTGGTCACTCCCACGGCTGAGAATGCAGACACACAAGGATATAACTAAGAACTCCCAGAATCCTCTGCTCTACCTGTGAATCAGTGAGTCACCTTTGATGGAGCTGACATCGATGTCCAGCTGGACCAGTTTTTCGCAGGTCCGGTCTATGCACTCGTACACGGAGCGGATGATCTCCTCGGGGTCTTCCTCCACCCAGCTGACATGAGCGGCCAATCACAGCAGTCGTCAGGCACAGACACATAAAATGGAGGTGAATGAGACCACTGGTGAGGATAACTTTGAACTTGGTAGCTGGTGAACTCGAACCTGAAACCTTCTGAACTATAAGTCCCCTTCCTTAACCACCAAGTCACCACTGCCCGTGATAATAAATAAACTTAAATAAAAACAGATTTTTTTCTGTGTTTTCAGTTGGATTAAACACAACCGAACACGGACACCTTGATTTTTTTTCTGTGTTTGCAGTTGGATTAAACACAACCGAACACAGACACCTCCCACCCCCCGCCCCAAGCTTCCCACCCCCCGCCCCCAGCTTTTGTCCACCAGTCAAAAATAATCCAGATTACTAACTCACCCCTCCCTTGGGAAAAACTGCTTGATTTCCACCTGGTGTTGACAGATCAATTTGGCTGTTTTGGCATTGAATACCTGAAAAAGACAACAACAAAACAACAACAACAACGTAGTTAAGACAGTGAGTCTGATGAAAAAAAAAAACACTCCACCCGTCCGTCTCCCCTCGTGTCTCCGTCTGCTCTCTTCTTCTTAAGCGATGTTACCTTCAGAGAATTCTGGAGGATGACCTTTGACACCAGGTCACGACCTGACCCGTCTCTGTTTGATCTATGGACTGCGATCCACTTCCTTTAACTGTCACGTCAGGACAATAAAAAATTAATTTAGAATGTTCTACAGCAGAACAGCCGCAGCAGACGGAGGTGACGGTCTGAAACAGGTGTTACACTTTCTGACTCACCCTCAGGGTTTATTAAAGGGACATATATTACATTCCACTCCAAGGACACACACAGGAGTGAAGAGTGACAGGAGCCAAGTGAAACCAGGGGAGGGTTCAAGTCCCTGCTCAACTGGGATGAAGGTCACCTCTACCTGTTCCTGGTTAAAGTGATTATGACCAGGTGTGTGTGTGTGTGTGTGTGTGTGTCGGTGACAGAACTGTTGTGATAACACCAGATTAGTTCCTGTGACACAGAACTGTTCATAAACTCATAAACAACTGACTTCAGCCCAGAATAAAAACCCAACAGAGTCAAAGTCCAACACTGTCTCTGCTCTGAAGACGCTCCAGACAAACATTTACCCGGTGGGCCTCACAGACAGACAAAGTCCACAGTCTTTGACCACACACCAGGGTCAGTCACAAACCCCTCAGACAGTCCTGTATCAGACGTCTGATGTCAGTGACCAAAACCAGTTCAGACTGGTCTCTGTGTCTACAACAGATGGGACCAGTTTCATCGTCACATCTTTGTCACCTTTGACCTTTAATCAGATTTTTATAGAAAAGAAAAAAAAAAGAATCGTTCAAATCTGATCAAATGTCACATTTTCAACCAAACAGGAATGAAAACCTCATCAACAGGTTCTGATCTAGAATTAAAGGAAGTGGACAAAGGTCATCCTCCAGAATTCTCTGATAGAGACACCACTGAAGAAGAAGAAGAAGAACACAGAGGAGAGAGAAAGTTATTTTTTCTGTTGTCGTCAGTCTTGGTTCTACCTCCTGATTGGCTGACTGATCATTTTTATATAACCTTGTGGAGTTGGTGTATTTTTTTGTATTTTTAAAAAATACCCATTATTACTAATGTGGTTCAATGTGGTGTGTGTTGTTAAGAACAATTATTATCAAATTAAATCACATTAACACGTCTTTATTGTCATTATGTTCAGTTAAAACATAACGAAATGGGGGAATTATCACCTGAGAAAAAGAAAAATCAATCAATAAATAAAATAAAATAAAAACTACAGCAAAAAGAAATGTATCCAACCCTGTCATGAAGAAAGAATACATTTTAAAAAGCCTTGTTTGGTTTGGACTTCTGTGCTAATGTTTTCGTATTCAAATGAGTCAAATAAAGATGTGCTAATGAACCAGTGACGTCATTACTGCCTGACTCAGTTTCCACTGAAGAACAACGGTCCTCATCCATCCCCAGTCCAGAACTACCTCATGAAAAGATGCATTTTTTAAATTATTATTATTATTCTGAACAATAACAACACATCTCTATATATCTGTATGGACAACCTTAGTGGCCTCGTAGTTTTCTTTTAAAACATTTTTTAAAATCTATTTCCAGAGTCAGCTCTTCAGAAACTTTATTAAAAGAAAGTGTTCATTCCGACAGTTCTTGGAAGTTAAATAATAAAAATGAGTCTGAATTATTGGCTGCCTCTGTAACCTAGGTAGGTCTATACATTTATTATTATTATTATTATTTTGATTCACGTTGCTCCTTGGTCGTTTGCAGCCAGGTACACGTCACTCACCAGGAACCTCGTCGAGCTCGTGCCCTGGTCAATGGCTCCCACCAGCGGTTCCATTTCTGCTTTTTTTCTCTCTCTTTTTTTGTCGAAGTTTAACAAAAAGCTCCGCTTCTTTTCCGAGTTTTTTTTTTCCCCGCTTGTTCTCTTTCTGACTCCAGCCACGTCCGCCTGTGAGGAGGAACCAAACTGTATGTGGCTACACTCCGTGGTTTTCCCTGTACACTGTAATGGGCGGGGCCTAGGCAGCCGCTCTCACGGCCCGATTGGCTGATTCTCGGAACCCATAGAAAGCTTGTCCAATCAGGTGTGGGGGCGCGTTCTCAGAGCGGAGGGAGAATCCTTCTTCACGTGTTTGGTTCAAACGGGTCTGAGACACCGAGGAGCTTTAAACTACGGAAGCTTGTTGCTGCTACACTACGTGAAACCTATCACGTAATTAAGTGAAACTGAGCCAATTTGTTTTTTCCCCTCAGTGTGGCAACAATAGGCTTCCGTACAGATCACATACTCACAACAATCACCTTCATCAAAAAATGTTGATAAAATAATTTTATGACACGAAAAGTTCACATTTTTACAGAAAATTTTATTAAAAAAAAATTCTTAATTTGACAAAAAACATGAAGGAAAAGATCAAAATTTTTCTGCATGTTTCTCATCAAATTAGAGCATTTTGAGAAATTTCTTAGAATTTTTTTGGGGGGAAATCCACGGGGACTGGAGGGTTGTTAGAGTAAGAGCAGGTGAGAGGATGAGGGGTGGGCAGCGGGGGCTGAAGAGGGGTCTGGGGGGCAGGACAGGCCTTAATGTGAGCTCTTTAAGTTAACAAACTGTAGAGTTAAAAATAACCACAACCATTACTTTGTTCTCAGAGACTGTCATTCATTCAAGTTCAAGACAAAGTTGCCACCAGACCACAGTAGATCAACACTTGTTTTTTCACGTTTTTTTATTCCACAGATCTGTGGGTCACAGCGTCGGGTTCACAGCTGTTGAAGACCAGAGTATCAGAAAGACCGGGGTCTGGACTCAAAGATAGACCGAAAAAAAACCAAACACAGACGACGACGATGATGTCAATCCTGACGTTTACAAGTTCAAGTACAGGTTGGTACCAAGCGTTTGACGGTCACTTTAGCACCACCTGTAGGCCATCGCGTATGTCATCTAAGGGCAAAAACAAACCTTTTCAGTACCAACTTTAAAAGGGGGAAAAAAATGACTGTGGTGGTGGTGGGGGGGGGGGTGGGGGGGGGGGGCCGCTGCCCCTCCTCTCATTTCCTCCCTGAAGTTCTGGACCATCTGAAAGATCAGTGGAAACTATTCAACCTTTAACAGACCAACGTCCAGTGGATACACTTACTTGAAGTACGGTTGTGGGTCAGATGGAGGTCAGTAGGTCAGATGGAGGTCAGTAGGTCAGATTCTTACCTGATCAGAGACCAGGATGTGGATGCCGTCGTCCTTCTGTCTGTAGATGTTGGTGATCTGCTGTGGCGTGATGTTGTAGAGCGTGGCGATCTTCTCGCACAGCTCCAGCGCCGTCACCTCCTCCAGGAACAGAGCGTGATAAACTATCAGGGAGTAGAACCAACACGTTAGTGCCTTTGGCTTTGACTCCAGAACTCTTCTTTATTTGTTACTAACAGTAAATCAACTCCTGAAACTTCCTGTTGTTCCATGAGTCAAACTAAAAAAAAAAAACACATCATCTGCATACGTACTGTCGCCATCTGCTGGTCGGGCAGCAGTTTGACTCCTGGCCTGTTGTTGACACACATAGATGGTCAGTCGAGGCTGGACACACCTGCAGTCACAGTGAATACAAACACACGTTGGTGAGGTCACGTGGAGAAGAGGATGACGAGGAGAAAAATGTATCTTCATCCTCTGTTCTACAGCAGGAACGTCAGGTTCAAAGAAGTTCTGAGGTGGAACCTGTCTGAGCCAGGCATCAACCCCCCCAAAAAAACCCCAAAAAACCCAAGACAATTATGAGCGCCGTCTGCTGTTGTTGTGAAGGATTAAAAAAAATGCCCCTCTGCTGTAGACCTGTGACCTTTGACCTGCTCCCCAGGCCGTCCACTCTCTCACCTTCCTTTCATGGTGTTGAAAAGACGGATGCCGTCGGCTGGACCGCAGATCTGGATCAGATCCTCTCTGCTCATCCTCAACAGGTCGGCACCTGAAATGACAGCAGAAGTCCTGCTGCAGGGACACACACCAGCTCCCCCGTCTCCCCCGTCTCCCCTCTAACTGTGCCTGAACATGTGTGTCACTCGTTAATCATTTCTGGTTCCTGTTCTGTTGACACTGTACTGCTACGTTCAGACACGTGTCATATGCGACCACCAGAGGGAGCACTAACGCACATTATGAGTTTGTGTGACATATGAAGGTTTTTTGAAGTTTACCTGAGAAGCTGGAGAAGAGCCTGGAGAAAGAGGAGAACCTGTGACGGAGCAGCCACTCCTGAGTGTTCTGCGGAGAACACGATGGCAGCAGATGCTACAGGTCAAAAAGAAGAAGAGCTCTTGAAATGAGAATATCTGCACTGCATCCACTGTCTCCATCTACTGGCCTGAAGGGGACAAGAAAGGCACGTTAACCTTTTCACTCTGCACCGTTACTTACGTCGGAGCAGTCGGCCAGGAGGAGCTCCCCCTGCTGGTGCGGAGAACAGTCGCTACAGAAGCATGCACACAAAAAAGGGAGAGAACAGAGTCATGGACATTCAAACACTCCCCTGGTCTGGGGTGAGAACCGGTGGGGTGGGGTCGGGGGGGAGGGGTGTCTGATGTTAACACATCTCAATGGGCCGAGGTGAGAGTGACCTACCCGTTAGTAAAAGTGCAGGATGATGGAGAGTCCTGGTAGGAGGGTGACAGACTGTTGGGGGCGCTGTGGCTGCTGAGGTTCATCACATCAGGCCACGGTGAACACTAGAGGAAGAAATGTTCAGAGCCAGTTCAGACCATTGGTCCAAGGTTTGTGTGTGTGTGTGTGTGTGTTGGGGGGAGGGGGGTAGAGGGGCTAAACAATGATCTTATCTACAGAGAGTTGATTAATAATACACAGGCAAAGTTCAAAGGTCACGTCCTGTGGCCTGAGATTTTATCCTGGTTGAATAACAGAGCAGGTCGTCACGTGACGTTCAAAGACAGGATGTGACCCACAGTGGTACAAACCAGGACGTTGACCTCAGACTAATGACCTCTCATTAATGATTCACTTCCTCCCGTGGACCAACCTGAGGTCAGGACCTGTCAACTCTGAGGTTCCACGAAGGACAATGATCTCCAGGTGAAACTAAAGCTGCACTTTGGGACAGAATGTTTGAAGCTGAAGGATTCCCCTCTGGTACCAGTACCAGTACCAGTACCAGTACCAGTACCAGTCCATGTCCCCATGTCTCACCTCTCTCAGCACAGTCGTCTCGTGGGATGTTTGATACTTTTCTCTTTCCTGAAAACTTTTTTTATCAATCTTCTCTCTGTCAGTCTTCAGTTTACGGTCTGCTCCTTTAGGCTGTGGTGATGAAGAACATGAGGAACATGAAGAACATCAGGAACATGAAGAACATGAGGAACCTTTGGAACACGAGGAACATGAAGAACATGAGGAACCTTTTTTGCGTTTGTGTTGTAGAGCACAAACAGAAGGAGAACTCAAAAACACTCGGACCTTAAAGACTTTAATCTGGCAGCTGGAGGAATGGGCGTGGTCCAGGTATTCTCCGTGTTCGTTGGAGGTGAACGTGTCCACCTGGATACGGAACGGCACGCCCTTTTCCCCGCCGTGCTTTCTGGGGGTGAACTCTGTGCTGATGCAGTTCACCTGAGTGGAGAGAAGGGGAGGTGAAGAGGAGGACACAGGAGGAACAGGAGCGACGTTCCTGCTGGAGTTCATCGGTACCTGAATGAAAACAGAAGCGTTCTTCACAGGATCCCAGAGGAACTCCACGGTGTGGAGCTGCAGAGCGTGAGAACGCGGCTCTAGAATTCCCACGGACAGAGGAATATCTGCGACAGACGTCAGATCAGAAATCCGATTCTTCAGATTCTCGACGCGCAGTAAAGACGGTAAAGTTCTGGGAACTCACCAATGTCCAGGATTCTGTCTCCGGGTCGGTTCCACCTCCACCTCTCCAGCTGCTGGTACTCCATGTACTGCAAGCGACGGTCGTGGAATACCACACGAACAATACTCTGTGAACAAGTGGATGTGACGTTAGGCCAGAGCAGCAGGGGGCAGCATGTGCACAGAAGACGTACTGTAGGGTCAAACAGAAAAACGGACTTCCTGCTGTACTACGTCGTTTTTTTCCCCTCTAAAACTCATTCCAACTTCTACCACAAGTATTAGTACTTTTATTAAACAGATATTTGTTCAGGATTAAAAACCAGGGCGGCTCCAGTGGAACCTGTTCCGTTTCCTCATTCTCTAGAACAGTGTTTCCCAACCTGTTTTGGGTCACGGCACACCACCGAACAAAAAAAATCTCACAAAAAGTTCATATGATGAAATATAGGGATATTCTAGTAAAAAAAATGTACTCCTGTTAAGTTGAAGACAATGCTAATATACTGGCAGGAATTGAAGAAAGACACAAAGATCTTC